TTTTCTAAAGGCCATATACTGACCTCAGTCCCTCCAGACTACTCATGCTTATACTGATGAATGTTCTAGGCACAGAACAAAGGAAATACACAGACCTAACAACCTGGCTGGAAATAAGCTAGTTCAGTGAGGAAACATAGGGATCAATATTCCTAATGAGCTGATTTCTAAAGCGAAAAAAGAACAGGGCAGCCCTTGGACTCTGAATGTTAGAGGCTAACCAGGGAAGCAAAGCAAGGAGAGCTGTGCAACACAATATAGAGAGCTGCTTTCAAAGTGCTGAATGAAGCAGAGTGCAATTATTTATCTCCAACTGAAGAACTGACGCATAAGCCTGTCATTTTTAAAAAAGTAAGGTATTAAAGTAAACAGTAAGATAATAAAATAAATAGACTTTATAGACAAAGCACAGAAGAGAAATTCAAGGTGACGTTTAAGTTTAGACATCTGAAGTGCAGACTGAGTAACAGAATGTAGACTTCTCTTTCAGTCATCTTCTCTTTATTTCTGTGAAGAGAGGGTCTCAGATCCAGTCCACAACAGGATGCTCTCTATGTGTCACTCCAATTACATAAAGAGAGCGGCTGCTAGAACGAAGCCTGGGAAGACTAATCCTTCCCATATGTCTAAATTCCATGTACAATGCACTCCAATCTTTAAACAAGAAAGCACAAAGGAACAGATCCATGGCAACTGCTTAGTTGACCTAAACTCTTTGAAGATTATCTATTTAAGAAGTTACCTGTAATGGAAGTTATGTAACAGAAGGAGAATGAGCTGGTTTACTTATTTTACAAAGTGTTAATGCAAACTGAAACACATGGCAAAACTGTTTAACCTGTAATTTATTTCAATGAGAAAAAATATGACCTCTTTTGACTAAGAACAGGGCAGATGGCAATGCTAATCCATTCTTACCTACTTTATAAATTATTTAGGTGTTCAGAACATAGAGTCTGTGGAAAACAAAAAAAACCACCATTTAATTAATCAACTATGAATTTTAGTTTCTAACCTATTCAGAGGGGAGTTTGCTTCTCTTTAACATGCTAAACTTCATTAATACAAATTCCCTATTAAGTCAGATGGTAATGGTAATCAGTTATAACACTTCATTTAAAGAATAGCCTTTAATTTAACTGAGTGATGCAGAGAAATGACATTTCTTGACAAAGTGACAAACAAGTTTTTGGGAATCATTAGCATCTCTCAGTGCACCGAAATCCTAACTGCGCTTCCAACTTAAGATGTCAAAGAGTTTAAACCAAATAAAACTAAAATCTATTTCTGTTCTTATAGCAATTGTAATCTTTGCTGTTCTATTTGAGAAGCATGAAAATCACTTGGTCTTCCTCATATACATGAGGTCCTCTAATCCTTCTGAAAGTTAGAATCCTGTATCATTTGCAGATAGCCAACTATAAAACTCACTTGCAAAGTGTGTGTAACGTTTAATAAAAGAAATTGTATAAATAATTGAAATTTTTTTTTCAGGGAAAATACGTGTCTATAAACATATGAAGAGGAAAAGCAAGAAAATGCAGTAAATTGTCTACCACCTTCACCTGAAATCCACAAGAAGAAAAGAGAGCCTGCTCAGGGAAAACATCCACTTTTTACAAGCCTTGAAATCCCAGCCTCCATCAGAATCTAATTAATTTGGATATGTCTGTTTAGCAAAGAATACTACACATTATGAACACAGAATATGCATATAATGATTTAAGTGAAATAGCTGGTGAAAATAAACACTCCAAACCTTCCCATCAGAAAACACTTTTCTCTGAGCGTTAGCAAAACATTTGGATGAGATTCTTTTCATTTAGGTGCATGTGGCACCTGAAAAGCATACAAAGTTTTTCATTAACAATTTATAGGACATGCTCCTATAAGTTAAACTTTTTTTTTTTATTGTTTTTATTAAAGGTATTAACACACCTAAAAGGAAGTAAACATACAGTCAGTGCCTGTCAGTAGGAACAAAAAGTATTTTCCTGGAATTAAGATATGCTCATATAAGGAAAAAAAATTATGTCTGCTATAGATGCCTGTTTAGTAACTGTGTGCAAGTTCCTCTTCAAACACAGAGGAATCAGCGCTACTGATCTACCTCACCTAATAAAAAAGTGGTGTAAAAGAGTTGCTTAGTTCCCGCTGACCTTGAATGTAATTGGCTACCTTAGATGTCTCCATGGTATATGCCATTAAGAAGATAAAAATATACAGGATTAAAATCTGAACAGATAAAGCTAAGAAATTAAGCATTACTCCTCTAATAAGCCTACTTTATGAAAGAACATGAATACTAAAATATCTCCTTATTGATTGCTGTTGAAGTGTGAATAAGTTTAAAAATAAGTTATCACAAGTAAAAGTATCTAATATTTCATTTTTCCCTTCTTATCTGTTTAAAAAATATGAATAAAGAATTCAAAGCGATTTTTTTATGCCATGCCACTCTACTCTATCCAAAATTACTTTTACAGCTCCACATTCTCCAACTCTTTATATATACTTAGTCTAGACGAATAAATTATTTTCTATCTTAAGATGAAGATGGAGGCATAATTTTTCTATTGCATTTTTTGAGTGCAACAGTTTTTATCCATAATTCTATACTAAGTTTATGCAATTGTAGAGAACAGTGTTTCATAAGGTCAGGATTTATTATTACAGAGAGAAGATTGTTCCACTATACTGCAAAACAAGAGACACCCAAAACAAAATCATTTTAAGTCACAAAAAGTGATTAGCCAAGAGAAAAAGACCATTTCTGCCTGTCATTAATAAAGCAAGATTGTAATAAACTGTGGCAGGAAAAAATGTTTATGAAATACTTTTTTCTTAAATTTTAAAAAACCAAACATAAATAAAATACGAAAAAATTTTAAAAATTTACCCCTTGGTATCAAAGTACTTTATGTTAGATTTCCACCTGAATTTAGGAAATACTGGCAGAGCACAGGTTTAGAACTTAAAAAAAAAGATACCCTAGATCATGAACATGTGCCACGCTATCACAAGCCATCTTGTCTCCTTCCTTGATACAGTCATAGATACAGGCTGTTTACAACCACAATGCAATTTTATGCTAATTATGGTAGTAAATATCATGAAAGAACTGAGACATCTATAAGCCTTCTGATATTTAAACAGAAGTTTAGGGGCAGTACATGGCAAAAAGTCTATAACTTAAATTTTGTTCAAAACTCCTTCAGTGATAGGATTGAGAATTATGAAGTAAAATGTTTAGGAAAAAAAAAATCAGCATAACTCTAAGTGTTAAGTTTCAGCTCTAAGGCTTACTTTGTCCAATTTCTTAGCCTCCACCCTGTCACAACAGCTATATTATTAGTATCTTTACAGCTTTCAGAAATAATCCAGCATTTTGCATTAAATCAAGTTGTTGTAGTAGCTAACAACCGCTAGGGGCTTGCAGAATTATGATGCATTTTAGGATCACTGCTCTCTCAAAAACTTTTTATGTAGCCTTCAGTTAATAAACAGAAGCTGTGAAATCTAATTCAGTATTCAATAATCCCTGTAATCGATCTGTTTAAAACTCCACCCTATATTTTAAATGTCTCAAATTGACTTTCTGTTTAATTTTTGAACAAATGCAAGGGTATGTTTTACATATAAAGTAGAACACAGTAAAATACCATGCATTAACATATTAAGAGTAGACCCTAATGAAGATTTCAAATCACATGTGCTCTATTCCTTCCCTGCTTTATGATCTTAATACTAATGTAAAAGTCTTGAACCAAGCATTTCTGTAAGAAATCAAATAAAAGTCTAATGGCTTATATGCAGTTGCATCTGAAACAAAAAAGCAATACAACAACCCGACTTGAATATCAGACAAGTTCATTCTTACGTTGAAACAAAACACACCAAGTCAGGGGATTAGAAGGGAGAAAAAAAGATAAAACTCAACAGGTAAATTGTAAATGTCATTGTCTTTCACTCTTGGTGAGATAAGGCATTTTTACTAAATAATACTGATAACGAAAACTCTCCGTATTTTTAACTTCAGCTTCCTCCACTGTACATCGCTTCAAACTTCAACTCTGCTGCAAGTCATCCTCCTTGACCTCCATTTTCACTGTTAGATTTTCAACAATGATTTCTGACATTTCTACTAATTCTGCAAGTTGCATCCTTTTTGCCTCTTGACATTTCTTGTAATTTTCTCCATAAATTTTTCTCATAAGCATAAATGCTTCTATTTCTCAAAATACCAGTGCAACAGTCTCTTTTGCTCAACTATCAATTCACAAAAGAATACTGGGAGGTAGAAAGACAACAGTAGGGCTGAAGAGCAGACATATGGAGCAAAGCTTGCTTTAAATAAAAAAATAAATAAAAACTCCACAGCTTGAGTCACCACACATTACTGGCGTGTCATAGCAAAACTTCTTCTCTTCCTATGTTAGATATCCAACTGGTTTCAAACCTGATTCTCTCTCTGCTCCTATATTTGCTACCATAGACCCTGGTAACAATGTCTTTTCCCTTATTACTTACTATGTCTGGAGAAAATTCAAAATCCTGATGAGAAAGGATTCTTCTTTCACCTAGAATACTCCAAACTGACAAATGCATTCCCTACCCTGAAATTATATTCAGGAAACAAACAGCTAACTCAGGTTTTTATCTATTCCTATAAACTCTATAAAAAAAAAAAGTATTCCTGTATTTCTTCCTTCATTTTTCCAAGTCTGCAAACGCCTCATGATAGCTAGAATAGCTGTCTCTTATGTAAAATCCAGACAATTCAGAGACTATTGATAGTGATGTACACTACCCAGTCCCAAAAGCAGAAAAGGTAAGTTATACCTTGAAGTTTCATCTTCTGAGTAACCTAGAGTTCCAACAGACCAAGTAGTATGTGTGCATTTACTCCTGCAATTTTACTTGCATAAGAACTGCAAGATCTGGCTTACTCATCAAAAGGTAAATTCTTGGTGCCTGTTTCAGAAGGATAATCATCTTACCTCTACAGCTTCACTTAAGACTTTGTTTTTATCTGCATCTTCACTGAAGTGCGATTCTAGTTTATCATGTAACTCCTGTAGCTGTTGCACCTGTTCATTCAATCCTTCACATGTATTTTCAAGCCTCTCACGGGTGATCGATGTCTGATAAGGGAAATAAAAATTGTGTTTGATTGCGTAACTCTATTCACTTGTTTACTTGCTTGACTTTCAGAGTTCCACTTGCAAAGATCAAATTCTAAAACAAAAGAGTACTGATGATTAATATTTAGGGTTTTAAACACGAAGACAGATCACCAAACAGTAAAATGGCAGACAACTTTATTCACTGTATTTTTTCAGAAAAGCATTCAGGATACTCTAAACAGTATGTATTCAGTATTCTATTCAGATTAGCACCCCAAGTTGTAAAGAATCGGTATTTAGAAGGAAATATGCAGAACAATGTCCCATATTTCAGTGTCTATCTTATTAACCTTTGTAAACGTCTTCCTCTACTCTTTCTCCCCTCCTAAAAAGGTTGCAGAAAGAAGAAATAATTCTTCAAGAAGAATCATTAAATATATTTGAACAACAACAATCTAAACTGTGACAATTTTATTTAACTGTCCCAGAATTGAAGAGAACCCATTAAGAACAAACCTGAAGATGATTAGGTGTAACCTTGTCCATTTGAGTTTAAAAAAAAAAAAATATCCATTTTACCAGCTAGGAACAGGAAGGAGAGTGGCTACTGAATCATCTATTAAGTATTCTCTGCTTGGAAGTGTTTTGACTGGGACACAATGACAGGTTTACCAGGGAGGCCTCATGTTCAATACTGGGCACAGATAGAGAAAATGCTGTTCATTCTGGGACCCAACTGTTTCAGTTACATTGTATATCTGTAAAGCATGTACAAGTATCCTTATCAACTCAGTTTCTCAGATAGCTCAGATGTGAGCTCAATTCTGAGTGCAACCTACAAGAAGTCGGTATAGGAGGGAAGGTGCCCAGTGAGGCTCCAGCATGCCAAAAGCAAGACAAGTTTCTTCCCCTCCAATAAGGACTAAAGTCACAGTTTCATGAGGAGGACAGGGAACAAACCAACAACCCACAAAATGGCATTAGTCCCTCAAATACCACATCCATTGCTCGCCATACTGTGGCTTGACGTGAGTAAGGAACATTTTTGTTGTCTTTTCTAATTCCTGTCAGACAATGCTATTTACAGGAAGCCATAGCGTTTAAGCTAATCAAAGAGCAACAGCAAAGGATCAGAGAAATTTTGTGCATATGTGCTCCTAAGAATGTAGAAGAGGGCTTTTTTTTTTCCCCTTGACATAAACTTACTCCTTCAAGGAACAGCCACACTAAAATTTGCACTATCTCAACATATAACCCATACTCAAAGACACAGTAAAATATCTATCATAATATTCGCCAATATCCATGCAGAATTTAAAATACTACTTTTACGCTTTTATCAGCTTCTCATGAACATACATACTAGATACTCATTCCAGTTGACCTTACTCTGCTGAAATGAAATCTATAAATCCTTTCAGAGTAGTAAATCATACCAACATTTTCAACATATGAAAGAAAACTTGAGTTGCTGAAGACCAAGCATATAATTTACACAGAATACCTCATTCTAAAAAGCAAAGAGAAACTCCTGTGGAAATGAGATACTTCTAAATACACTTGACTTACTGTACAGTGACATTTCCAGACAAGCTTTCTGGGAAATTCTGTTAACAGTAGATTGATATATATATAACATCAAAAAACATGTAAAAAGGAGGATCTCTAGTAAGCACTAAATCAAATATACTTACAGATTGCTTAATGATATTTAATTGCTCTTGCAGGCTCTGGGCTTTGTCAGCTTCTTTTTCCATCTCATTGATACTCCATTTGAATTCTGCAAATTTTAGTCGCAGTGAGCGACGTTCCACCTCTGCTGTGTGAAGTCTTTGTGCAAATTCCAATATTTGCTTCTGCAGGAATTCTATACTTTTCTGTTAGTAAACAGAAACAAATCCATATGTTATAAAATATGCTATTTTGGTAATAAAATCAATCACATTTACTATCCAAGGAAATTAAGACAAAGCTGTTATTTTGTGAACATGTTTCACATACTGTTGAAAGTTACTGAAAATTCTGTTTTCCAGGAAGCAGTTGTTTTTAGATAAGGCCCATAATAAAAGACAGATTATGTGAGAAAGAATTTATTATTTCATTTTAGTTTAAGAGAAGGTTATCTATACCTAAAGATGGAACAGTAAGCAGGAGAAAAAATGGAAAAAGAAAAAAAAATCTTTTAATTAATTCTAGTTAATTCTAGCTAGTTTAAGCCAAAAGCAAGTTAGCTCTTACAAAGCAAATATAACTTTGGTAGAACTTTAAAAAATCTTTTCCTTGCATATATCAAACCTCTTCTCAAAATTCTCTGACAATATGACAATAAAACAAAAAATTCATTCACACTCTAATGCTGTTGGATGTTGCAAATCAAATTCTGATTCTCTGTGTACTTGACTCCAATGTAGCAGACTCATAAACAACCTGAAACAAAATTAATAGTACTATCAAGAGAGCTTCACCTAACACTTATGCTGTGAACCTGCTGTTTACATGAAGTAGCACTATAAATCTGCATACCATAATGGGTAGTCTGTCACACAATCCAGCTTCCAGGGCCTGAGTATTTATTTTATGAAGTCCATGAGCCAGCCTCTGTACCAAGGAGTCTTTCTCTAGATAAGTACTGTTCCTGCTCCTGTCCAACGGAACATTCCCCATTATTACATTCAGCTTGTCCATAAGTTTTGAAAAGGAGTTCCTGGCTGCACTTACAAGTGAGTGTCGAGAAAGACAGGGCTGTGGATCTTTAAGAAATAACAACAAAAAAGAAACATTGAGTACGTTATTAGTTTTATGTGTTTTCAGTGGAAAAGAGCCACAAAAACAAACAAACAATTTTAAAATACTCCATAGCAAATTTCCATTAAAGAGTGAAAGACTGAGCTCACAAGTGTATCTCATAGTGACTTTGGGATAAATTCTGCATTTAGCGATGAACACTCTGCTCCTACAAATCTTTGGATTGAAAGGCAGGATAGGATTCTAAATAGGATTTACTTCCTGAAGAAAAATTTTCCAGTTGTTCCTGTTCTCCTCCAATACTACACTTTCTTAAGTCTTTCTTGGGTGTTCTAGTTTCACAACTCAGAAAACATGAGACGGATGCAAGCAAATGCAATCCAGGTCAGGTACGTCAGATGTGACAGCACATGGTAAATCACTTTATGGTAATATTTACAATGCAAATTTCTGAGGGTTTGCTGACTCCTCTTCCCTCCCCTCTATAGATGTCTAAATCATTTGCCGTTCAAAATTAGTGAGGCTTGGTACCTTAATGCCATACTATTTATATTCTGAGACAAGAGAATATAATTTACCTTATTCCAAGGCAATTAAAATTTTACAGCTACAATTACTTATTTCCCCACAGGATTTTGGTAATCATCCTTCTCATATAATGGACTTAAGGCCCCAGCACACCCAACATGTCCTGCTTACTGCTAGATTCGTCAGGTCTGTAATTAATAATTGTGTTTAATGTTGATAAATAAAATTGTCAGTGCTCCTTCCACTAATTGGTATTCCAGATAACAGTTAATAGGTTTATTTATGCCTTAATAAAAGTCTTGTAATTTAGTTTTCCCTCTGCTAGGCAGGTCTTAATCTGTCATTACTTGTCTTATGATACTATCAGTGTAAGATGACAAGCATGGAAGAGCTTATTTACATTCAGTAGTACAGCAGATCTCCTGTTGCTACAGTGAATTAAAATATTTACATAAGAGCATAAACAGAAAAAAATAGCCACAGCTTCACAGCTTTTTAAGTTAAATAATTTCTTTTTATACACTGTGAGAATAAAGCTAAACATTCAAAACAAACAAAACATGATTACTGGTATTCTTAGATTTTGACTTTATCATAGAGAATTTATCGTTTACACATATCAAATTTATCTGTAAGCAAACAAACAAACAAAAAAGTCAAATATTCTTTTTTCAGAGCCATTCTCCCACTTTGTTTCAAAATACCACCATTCCAATGATTCCAGCTGGTAACTGAGCACTATTTTTGAGTTCATGTTCTCCATAACCCCAGTCAGTAGTAAAATCGTCTTTTCTTCATGTCTATGACAGCATTCTATTTTTCTTTATGTCTATGACAGCATTCTATTTTTCTTTAAATCTAAAAATCTTATTCAGCATGTTCATCTTGCAATTCAACCAATAAAGCAACCTTTCAGATTAAAAAAAAGGATATTCTCAATGAGCTACTGTTTCATTATTTTTCCTGGTATTTTCACCTTGTATCTGATTTTACATGGGATTGTTTGCCTGCCAGAAAAGACAGTATTTCTTCGTATGTGCAGTACCTAGGTTGGCAGCCTCCTTTCCAGTTTAACTGTATTACAAATAAATTAATAATAATAGTTCAGGCAATTCTGTTGTAGCACTTTGAAATAATCATTCCACTTCATAACCAGTATTCCCATTATTCAGTACAGGTCAGCATCCACAACTTAAGGCACTTTCTTACCAACGCAAATAAAAAAGCAAATCATAAAGAAAAAGGGACAGAGCTGATGAAGAGCAGTTGGAGTAAATACACAGAAATATGTTGATGCAAGTTACTGACTGCTTTGAGGGACAAAATGAAAATATAATGCAATTCCACAAGGAATTGTATCTATAATCATTGGGAAGAGAACGTATGGTTTAAGTATATATATTTTAACTATCTACAAAAGATCAAGGAATTCACTAGAAGCATTAAATGATGTACACTGTGATGTGTATAAGAAATTACTAACACAAACACAAGTATACCACAAAGAGCAATTAATTTTTACTTTAAAAAAATGAAGAAAAAGAAAATGGAAAGCAACAAATCTCATTTCACTGACAGATGAGGAAAGAATTCATGTTCACTCTGTTGTGCTGAAATAAAATAGGAGGATGGACTCAGTAGTACTACACAAGACTAAAATTTTCATGGTAAGGTTGAAAAGCTTTGTGTATACAACAGTTGATGATATTTGTATTCAAAAAGCTTGACCTTTACTTTGTCTGGTTTATCGTAGCACAGATTCTGATCAAACAATCCTGCAAGACTAACCTTACCAAAAAAACCAAACCAACAAACCAAAACCCCTACACTTTATACTCACTTTGTATTCAAACTGAAGCTAAAAGATCATTCCATGACATGCTGGAATGGCAATCAAACTACTGAACAGGGAAATGATCACGAATGTCAAACCAAACCAGCTTTTTTTAAAAGTTACAAGCTCAAGAAAGATACCTCAAACCACCAGAGTGCATAAACTCTAAACTGACAGTCTTATCTGAGTGATCCGGATTTGGTTTCTTTCAACTGCCTCAAATGGTTCCTCAGAACTTGTCTATCTTTAAAAGTAACTCTTAAGACACTGAATCATTCCATATTGTAGATCCAGACAACACCCTTCTTGTGCCTACTCTCTTCTACGATGTGCAGTCTAACTTGGTACTGCCATTATTTCAGGATCTGAAGACAGCAGATGCCTCTCAGATTGCCTACTTACATTTAAAAAAATTCATTGAAGTCAGTCCAAAGGTTAAAATCCTATTTGAAATATGACTTAAAGAACATAAAATAATTTCCTAAGTATGCAAGCATCCTTGCAAATATATTTCTTTAGAGTCTTATCACTTCGATACTTCTGGAAATTTCATGCCAAACTTTAAATTATTTATTGCTATTTTTTGAATCAAAGGTTCTCGGCCAACTTTCGATCTCCTGAGCAACACGATTCCAAGAAATACATGAGCAGTTAGATCTTGAGGTTCTGTGAAAATTACTTAAAATAGAGGTAAGTTGTGAAAAAATCACAAAACTGACTGTGGCCATAACATTCTACGCTTAGCTCTTCTTAATTTTCAGAATCAAAACTGTGTTAAGTACAGATAGATCAAGTAAGTAGATTCCACCAGAATTCTCGTATACTTCAATAACAGCAAAATACCACGAGGTTTATGGAATTCTAACTAATCACCTCAGCATATTAATGCTGTTGTAAAATTTCTCTTTATTCTTTTTCAATTTGCTGTTCTCACTCAACACTCTCTACAGAAGAACATTAGCAGTATAAAACCTGTAAATATTCTGACATGCAGTTTAAATTTTGTTTTGTAAGGATGCAAATTTAAGTTACTGAAAACAGGATGATCAAAGAAGAAAGCACCTAAAACTGAATCAAAATACTTTTGATTCAATGACTGACTTCTGGTATCAGTTTACTGTGCAGGTTTCTGGGAAATGTATCACCTTCTCTCTGTCCTGCTATTTCCCTTTATTAATATAAATTGTTCTTCCTTCGATATCCTTTATTCTGTGACAGAATTGCGGGGACTTTGAAACTACCAGGTACCAAAGAACTAAGGATGACAGCAATGTAGGAGAATCAACTGAGATCTTTTATCAGTCCTCACTGGAAAGAAATTGAAGAAGATAGTTAACAGGTGAGTATCAAGAGTTTCAAAAGACTGGCACAAAAAATTACCATAGGCATAGCAGAAGTCTGTATGAGGAGAGACTGATAAAATGAGAGAGTCCAGACACAAATATAATTAAGCATATACTTAGAGAGGGAAGACAGTAGAGACATAAATTAAGGACTGCTATAAAATCATGCAAATTGACAGCATTTTATTTCTCTGTCAAAGATCACAAGATAGCAAGTAAACCTGATGAAAACAGTATCCAGATCAAATTGTTTTCCAGATTTGGAAATTCTAGAATCATTTCAGTCAGCAGCAGAATGTCTCATGTTGAATATGTCTTAGGGCCTTCCACTAAGAAATACACAGATCAAATAGACAGAAATTAAATAGATTTTCTACATGGAAAAAATTTAGGTGGAGTTCCAGTAAAATACTTTTTCAATATTAGAACAGTGGAATAAGATAACTAGGAAGCTTGTAAATATTACTTCATTGGAAGCTTATAACAACAAGTTAACCAAGTATCTATTGGCATGGTGTAGGCTGATTGTGTTTTCCAGTCTCAGAGCAAAGCACGAAAAACTGTTTATACGCTTTCTAGCACTCTCCAGCCTTCTGTTTTCATGATTCTATATACTGAAATGATGAAGTATCAGATCAACAAAGAAAATTAATCTGTTCCAACATTACAGCTCTCTAGAGATTTGATCCAGAAGAGTTCAGAAAAATGGAAATTATGTACCCACTAGGATTTTTTTACCTTCTACTGCAAGGATATACTTTTAAAATTACCTGTTTTGTGAATAACATCCTGTAATTCAGTGACAGAACTGATTATTGCAGCAAGGAGGTTAGAACTAGTAAACCAGCTGACTGCTTCAACACAGTGAATTTGTTCCTCTTCACGACCTGTGAAATAGAATTGTAGCTAGCAATAAAACCAAATAACTTAGATGAGATACTGTCTCCACCTCTTTCATAAATTGATCACAACTAAGTATATGAGCCACCAAACAATTCTTCTTTCATGACAATTTAGACCACATTAAATATGCTTCCAGAACTACTGAAACAGACAAGTAGATAGACCTTCTAGCCTGGAAAACATTTTTGATGCCATTTGTCCTTGCAGGGCGAAGCATAAGCTGGTCTAGTAACAGAAATGGACAGGAAGACCACATAAGATCTAAAGAAAATTTAGGAATCCCATACTGATATTTTACCTGAATCAGAAAGCAACTTTTTGCACTTTTAGTAGAAAATAAATGTTTAAAGTGAGTAATAAAAAAGATGCAACATTTTTTAAAAAAATATGTTGCTCATTACTCATTTAGGAACATTACAAGATATTTACCACAGAGAAAACGCGGTAGCACCTATCTCTGAAATCTGTACCGCAAATATGAAGGATATCAAACAGTATGAGTTCATGTGTACACTTGTATATCTACTTTCAATGCTTAACAGACTAAGCATTTCCTTTTATGGGAAACTGTATTTGCCAACAAATCCAGAAATTACATTTGTCAAAATGTCGTTAAATTTGTTTTTACACTATATTAATAATAACATTACTATTTGTTATTCACTAACCATGTAATTTGACATAACACTTTATCAGAGAAGAAAATAATTAGCTTACTTGACAGATTACGCTTGCCTTCGGATTCTCCTATACAAACTAGAATCTGAATGCCTTCTTTGAAGCCATTTACCCAGGAGAACAGGGAACCAGAAGTCTGGGCTAAAATTTTAAGTCTGTTAGCTGCCAAAACTGCAATCACGCCTCTTCGGAATATATGTATCAGGCTTTTGAATTTTCTTTTCTTCAGTTTTGCTTCATCTTGATTGTTTTCCTCCAGACTAGAGAAAGCATGAACTAGGGTCCTAATCTTCTGTTTCACTAACTCATAAATGTAGACCTGATCCTGCAGAAAGTCTCTTTGGGAAGACATAGCACATGATCGGCCATACAGAGGATACAGGGCACCTGCCAATAGTGCACAAGCTGCCAAGAGAGAAGAATGCTCCTTCTGAACCTGCATTAACGCGTTTTTCACATAAATATTTTCAAGGGCCAATTTCTCTTGTCTTTTTTCAAGGACACAGATTTTTTCCTTGCTCTTCTCTGCTGTTTCTTGGTATTCCTGGGTTAAGGGAGAAAAAAAATACACAGGAAGTATTAACTAGAAAATACTTTTTTAAATAACAAAATCACTTCTTCTATACAAAAGCTAAAAGAAATTTTTTTTTCAGATTCAAATAACACTTTCAAGGAAAAAAAGTATTTGTAATGACTGTCAAAGTATCTCTCCTAGCAAACAGTTACAGAACCAGATATATGAAAACAAATCAATAGTACAAGGAAAATCTGCACAATCTTCAATTACAGATGGACTCCAGATTTCTAAAAACAGATAGTCTACAGAAGACTGGACAGTACCTCGCTGTCTGCAATACTGTTTTATGAGTTAGCTTAACAATAAGCAATTACATGCTCCAATTTCAGAAAGTACCACTGTTTTTCAAAGCACAAAAGAAAGCATAAGAGAGAGGAAAAAAAGAAGGAAGACTCTGGAAGATAAACCTAGACAGATTGGCAGCAGCTGGGAAAGGGGAAGTAAAGGTGATCTCTTAATTACTTTGTAATCAACCCCCTACTTATATATTCACAGATTAATTAGGTCTCATACACAACTGAGTTTTCAAAAGAATAATGTAATACAGAGAATGTTATTTTGACTAGTGTCATTACAGATTTTTCAACTTGCAGAACATTTCTTCTTTTCCTCTCTACATTCTGAAATAGTGAAAGAGGGAGATTTAAAATCATAAACGAGCGCAGCAAAATGAAGACGCTAAAAAGCCAGGGAATGCCAGGACTAAGTTTAGACCATGCAGACTGGTTGCTTTTGATAACACGCAGGTCTTGTACAGGATCCAAACACTATGCTGAGACCTCAAGAGACTTAGACTGGCTTCTTGATGCATACGAGTCCTCTGTGATTGGAACCACTTGAGGCTACATTAAAACAGGACACAGTGGTATAAGGAGATAAAAAATTTTAGGCACTGCTCACAAAGAACCATAAGTTCAAGTTAAATGCTTACGCTCCAGTTACACAAATGGACACAAAAAGGCAAATACGAATGGAATGACAAGTCCATATGATGAAAAAAAGAAAGCATTATGGTACGCTTTAGCTACCTCACTTAGAGCTATAAGCAATTTTGTTTAAAAGAGATGAGTTTATCCCTGTTAGCCACAGACAATGGAGGGATAAAATGGTGTCATCCAGCCACATTCCCATGTATAATCTATTTGGTACACATCCCAAGCAAGTGGTGTGGGGCCACCTTAGTTTCTTCTCCCTCCTCCATCCTGCAAGCACAACAGGGAGAAAAAATACACAGCTATCTCTACAACAGAAGTAAAAGATTCCATGCCTCTATAGAGATGTACAGTAGTCAGTTTAGAATGTCTTTGACTAAATAAATATTTTATTTTTTTTAAGAGGAAGAATTTGAAGTTTATTAAAATACTTTCAGGGATACAAAAACAGAGTCATCAACTAAAAGATCTGATTACTAAGTACAATTTACAGGCCTCATATGTCACTTTACTATTCTAAAATTAAGTATAAACTTGTACAATACTTCCAGTGCTACTGCATTATTTACAGTGTTTGATTTTTACAGAAAAAAATCTGACAGCATGACTGGAAGGAACAGAAGAGGTAAGCTGAATTTAGAAAACAACTTATGGTTTCCGGCTATCACAGGTGAAAGGCCAGTATCTGAGTAAACAAAGTGTGATCCCTGCAGGGCTGTTGGAGAGCAACACTAATGTTCAGTGCTCTGGCTAATTAAAGCTTATTTTTTAAAAAAACTTAGTGTTTTTATCCTTATGGTTATATGGTAATATGCAAAAGTGAGCAAGCAATCTCTGCCTACAGAAACGTAAGTTTTGTAAGAAAATACACTTCCTTGCTCTTATCAGCTAAGTAATTGCTTTTGTCTTACTCCACACTGTTTCTAGTGTTTTCTTTGAAGCTCAAAATCATAGTTTTTGAAAGGGACGTAGAATTCTCTTTCTAGACACTGGCAAGCTGACTTGCTTTAGTGTTTGAGCTTTGAGTGACACCTCACTAGGTTGCAGTGCTTGGTGGACTCCAAGAAGCCTTAACAAAAAATCAGGTGCTACTAGCAACAGTTTGATCCTACTTCTTTCCCATGATTTAAGTACATGGACTGGACATGTCTATCAAAATCACATAGAGGTCAGGAACATTTTAGTTACATGTACTTCTCCTTTTGCATTGATTTCACTGACTTTCAATACAATTGCAAGATACCAGAGCCTTTAGCTAATTCACCAGCCTTGCTGTAAAAGAAAGGCTTCCAAAAAAAACACAAAAAAAGGCAATAAAAGATTTTTTTCCTCTCTAGAGGGTTTTTTCCCTTTCCTATTTAGCCAACCTTCCATTTTTTTCTGTTGAAATTAACATTTTTTAAGTAGTTACATGATTTTTCTCTTACAACATGTTTTTACATACCAGAACAAAACCATTCTATTTGACACGGCTGCCACAAAAAAATGGGGACAGATTAATAAATGTCTACATAATAAACAAAAAACAACTGATAGTTAAAATTCAGAGGGCATTTCCTAGGAGACTACACAGTCTGAATAAATAATCCGTGCGAGGCTAAGGAACAGGCATAGTAATGTTTTCAAAATGGCACACTATTAAGAGGACTATACTCCTGCTACAAAAGGCAAGGAGAAAGGCTATGCATTTTAAGCTCTACTGACTCTCCAAACATGAAGGCCATGGACAAAGAAGAGCAGCATCTATAGAGTACCTTGTTTATCACTGATCTGAGACAAGACCACTCTGGGAAATTCTGCCCTAAGGAAAAACATTGAAACTGCTTTCTGGTTACACCATTCATTTGACCTACAGTAACAGCTGTGAAGTAGCACCCATTAACATCCATAGACCCTGTCCTGCAGTCAGGGACCCTGAACAGTACTAGTTGGGGAGAGAAGCAATAGTAAATGGTGTGTCATTGCTATTAAAACATCCAGATTTTGCAAATATTATCACAGAATCACAGAATGTCAGGGGTTGGAAGGGACCTTGAAAGATCATCTAGTCCAGCCCCCCTGCCAGAGCAGGATCACCTACAGTAGGTCACACAGGAACGTGTCCAGGCAGGTTTTGAATGTCTCCAGAGGAGGAGACTCCACAACCTCCCTGGGTAGCCTGTGCCAGTGCTCTGTCACCCTCACAGTGAAAAAGTTCTTCCTAATATTTTTGTGCAAACTCCTATGCTCCAGCTTGTATCCATTGCCCCTTGTCCTGTCATTGGACATCACTGTCCTCCAGACACTCCCCCTTGACATATTTATAAACATTCAGGAGGTCATCCCTCAGCCTTCTCTTCTCCAAACTAAAGAGACCCAGCTCCTTCAACCTTTCCTTATAAGGGAGATGTTCCACTCCCTTCATCATCTTTGTGGCCCTGCACTGGACTCTCTCAAGCAGTTCCCTGCCTCTCTTGAACTGAGGGGCCCAGAAGTGGACAAAATATTCCAGATGTGGCCTCACCAGGGCAGAGTAGAGGGGCAGGAGGACCTCCCTCGACCTACTAGTTACTCCCCTTCTAATACACCCCAGGATGCCACTGGCCTTCTTGGCCATGAGGGCACATTGCTGGCTCATGGTCATCCTGCTGTCCACCGGAACCCTCAGGTTATGATTAGAATCATAAGGAGACAATTCTGAAAAGCTCTAACCCCCCACTGCAGTTCTAGGAACAACGATTTTGAAGATACATTACTTGTATTGCTGTGCAGTTAGATCTCTCATTTAACTCCTGAGATTCTGAATTGCTAGTCTTCAGTTTGCCTTTGCACATGTACTAACAGTCTCAACCCAGGAACTCTGAGAAGAAAATGTCTAGAAGAATGCATGGAACTCTGGTTGAAGACAAATAAAAAGTTGCATCCAACGATATACTTTTAGCTTGGTGCAGGACAGCAAAAACCACTCATCTTCCCTTTCCAGAAAGGAAATAACATCTACAAGGGATTAATTCTTTAAACTGCTTGTAATCAACACTCAGGTCTTTGGATGGAAAATTCAGCAAATGCCCACAGTTTCCTTATAGTGCTAGAAAAATTGCCCTACAGTGATGAGATCCACAGTTCTACAATGAAATACAGAATACTGGCAAATTATATTCCACTTACACTGATTATATGTTTCCTATAAAATTTAATTAATAAAGACTGTTAAAATAAGTAAATATAAATATTGCATTCTTTATCTTAATATAAACACTGTCAATCAGTAAAATCTAAAAGACCCTTTGAAGATATTCTGCAACTTCTTTCCCATGAAAATAAGGCTACAATATTAGTCTGTCTGTACACCTCTGAATCAACAGGGTAGTGATCTCACAGAAAAGTCTGCTTAACAGGCTCAAAATGCAACTGGTAAAAGACAGCCAAGTCTTTCAAAAACCAAGCAATCAAGGCTAAGGCAGCCCTAACAGCAGATATCTATGGACCCTATGGATTCCAGAAAGGGAAAGGCTTCATCTGGTATTTGCAGGTCAAAAGTCAGCCACAAATTTACATCCAGAAGCAACTAGACTGTCTTCATCCCAGACTGGCACTGAACGGTAAGGAAGGCAAACTGGAAAGTGAGATGGAGAAAAAATATGACAAAGATCTGTTGAGTTCTCTAGGTGCATATAGACGTTGCATTGTCATTGTACTGCGTAGATCACACCAGCTTGTACTTGAACACTATGTAACCTGTGTTAGAAAACATGGCCACATGTCTCTAAGAAAACAATTCCCTTTGAGAAACCCAGTACAGCAAGTTGATGGATAAAGTCTTCACCAGAAAAGGAGACGAGCAACGCATGCTCCACAAGAGGGTGCCATGTTTTGGCTCTATGCTCTGTCTGCTGTAGAAATCCAAATGAGAAGACTGGCAGGCTTAGTGCTCTCCCGAAGACTGTCGTGGTACTGATTCAGACCCTTCTTCTGTGCAGCACCCATAGGAGGTAGAAATCTAAACTGCATAACTGCATTTTTTCTTTAGGAAGGGAAAGTCATCTTTAAAATTAAAATTAAGCTTTCTCATCTCATCATTCTTTTTCTTGGCAATGATTTCCTAAGATGAAGTAACAGGATGTTAGGGGAACTTAAAGCCTGGATGCTGATTCCACTCACAGGGATGTTTTTAGCACTGCCAATATCCAACGTGAAATGTAAATATCAACTGAAAAACACATAAAACATTCTAACTCATTCTGTGAAAATTAACAAAAATCGGTCTAAAGAATACTTCATAAATACTTTTTTTATGGAGTGCAAAGATTTCCAAGCCCAAAATCTAAGCCATGCACAGCATTCTTCTGATGAAGTAAGTTTTAGATGGCAGTCATAAAGAACAAGGCATATCTTATTTCCTCTATTTCACAACACCTTTAACTAAAACACAAGTAAAGGAACATGACTACAAAGACTGTTACAGTGAAGATTTTAGATTGCAAATAACTTTTCTAACAACAGGTGTCCGCAGTTTTATACTTTTGAACCACTGCTCACTGTAGTACCTATATAATGAAATCCTTTAATACTGTTGAAATCTACTACTGTAATTGCTAATTGATTCTTAGGTTCAGAAAATATATACCTAAATTTATCCCCAGATGACACCACATTACTGTTACTCTACAGAGTATCTCCAAAGCATGACACTGAAAATGTAACTGCTGCCCAATATAATTATTAAAATAAGAAATTTCAATCTTACAGCTTTAACATTCTCAAAAAAATCACTGGTAAGTGATTTTAAGCAACTCATTTCTGGAATATTTTATCAAAGTCATTTATTTCTTATTGTAAGTGAAGGTAATACTAGCAGAGTGTTAGTTGTTTTTATTTATTTTAGAGATATACTAAAATTCCCAAGCAACCTTAAATTTGTTAAGAGCTTAAACTACTGAAACAATGCATTAAATATTTACAAGGAAAAAAAAAATTAGAAGTTCACTGCACCATACCTGTGCCCTTGCATGAACTTCCCCAAGGAGACGTGAGTAGTGCTGTTCCAGATACTTTTTTTGTTTCTGCCAACAGCTTTCCTCTGCTTTCATCTGTTCAGCCATTTTGCTAAAAGCATCTTCCTGGCTCTGCTGAAGCTGCTTCATACTATCGGTGTTGTTCTTACAAACATATTCTAGGTGAGATATCTGTGTAACAAGCATTTAGAAAGAAATTCTTTTACTTCTCCACACACCTTTTACTTGTAGACATGACTATTCCATCATAAAATCTAAATTGTAACTTCTTCAACATATTAAAACTAAGTAAAAGCCTTTCATAGCAGATTACTTACGTGAATCACAGAATTACAGATAGTTTGGTTGGAAGGTATCTTAAAGATCATCTAGTTCCAATACTGCTGCCATGGGCAGGGACACCTCCCACTAAACCAAGTTGCTCAAAGCCCTATCCAGCCTGGCCTTGAACACTTCTAGGGAGGGGGAATCTTGCAACAAAATGGAGACATATTTTTGGAATAACGAATTTTTCTTGGTTTTAGTTTTGACCTCCTTATACCACCTTGCAGATATTGGTTACCTTCTTTGTTATAAACCTGAAATCTATACTTCCAGTGTTCTTTTGAAACAAGTGAATTAAATCTTGTACTTCTAAATTAGTAATGTGAGTGTACCAGTACTTTAGCAGTTTGCAAGGATTGGAAGGAATACTGAGAAAACAGCCCTTAATTTTTGTTTTATTGGAAGGCCAAGGTGTTCCATATATTATTACGTATTAAAATAGTTCCAAGAAATCTTACTGTACAGAATATTTTTCTCACAAGTAGCTCATTAGTTTATGATGTGTTTTCAACAAGCGTGTCTCCCATGCAAACTAAATGGAGAAATAATTCAAGTTAACAATGAATTCTAAATGTAAGTGCCTACACTTTGTTACTAGAGGATAGCTCCAAGATATCTTCCAAAGAGATCACACAAAACTGCAGGAGGGAAAAGTTCTCAGAAAGCAGGTGCAACACAGGAAACAACACTGCCCCAAATCCCTGAAAAACTGGTAACTACATGAAAAGAGCTCTAGAGACCTCATAATCAATCCCAACAACCATGCTAAATTACAAGTAAGAAACAGTAAAATACAATCCTCTCAAACACTGCCAACAATGTTCATTTCTTTCCCTTTCCTGCTTTACTTTAAAAGAAAAATAAGAATGTAAGTCCAATCTGTATAATCAGATTTTATATTATCCCTCTTTAGTAATTTCCATTGCCCACTGTGGCATTTACTAAATGATAGGCAGAATCAAAACGATTCACTGTAACTAGCCCTGTTCCTTACTGGGGCTAGAGGAGTGGTCACAATTCCAGTCATGAGAAATGTCTGAAAGAGCTCTTCCCTTCCTGTGCCTCTGGAACGAAATGTCAGAGCAGACAAGATATAGAGTTGCCCTGCTAGGCTGCAGGACAGCCAGAAAACGAACTGAGATTCTAAACAATGACATATGTTAGTCTGTGGAGCCAGTTTAAGTTACTTAAACTGAAGTCTTTTCTTTCCTAAAAGAAATGTGGAGGTTTCTGGGGAGAAAGGCCACATAAGCTTATTCACATTAAAATAATTCAGAAAAGTACAGCTTCTTCCTTAAACAAATATTGGCATGTCTTATAATTATTTCTATTGTATTTCTGAATACAAATTTCATAGTCCAAAAAGTTACAAATAAACTAAAAAAAACACACTGGCATTTTTTCAGACAGATCTCTGAATCGTAAACATGTAATTTAAAAATTATGTTCCTGGTCTAAATGCATTTTGTTTCTGGTTTATGCTAAAATAAAGACTTGCTTTATTAGTGTAAATGACTAAGTTCTTTGAATTGCTTCATCAGTAAGATTAATTTATTTTCTTTTAATTAGGTCCCTGTGGCTAATATTGGCTAGTACTATTAGCATGTCCTGCACAGAAAGTGGAGCTTAGAGACTTCATACAGACTTCAGTCACATTTACATGCCCACAGCAATGGCATCAAACTGAGTTGTAGACAAGCCATAATTAATGGTATTGAATTATTAACGTCCAAATTCTTTTTGAAATAAGATGAATGTCAGTCCTTTTTAATGATACTGTGATGTGGACAAATGCCACTGAATTTAATAGAGGTAGCTGGTGCCTAAGGACACTTACCTTCTCATTAGCCCTGTTGAGGTCTAAGATCAGGGCATCAACATTCTCCTGCAAGACTGCACCAAGCTCAGACCAGGAGAATCTATCCAGGATGCCTTCTGGTTGTTTTATAAGCACACAGCCTGCTACCAAACGCTGGTATAAGCTATGGAGGAAGGTTAGCTTCTCCTGAGACAAAAAGAAAAATTAACTGTTGTATCCGAACATGGTCAGAATCCAAAGAGATGCACCATAAGTGTAGTAATGTGAGCTGCACACATCTGAACAAAACCCCAGGAAGGTCATTTCCAAATCTTTTCAAAATTCCTCAAATCCTTGTTAATATTTGCAGTCATACCTACTAAAGCCAGAGTAAGAAAGAAGGTTACAAAATTTGTCTAAATAGACATAGTACATAAATAAAGAAAGCCCAATCCTGCACTGGTCGCAACCATGATCTGATACAGATAAAAATTTCCATGCTATTAGTAGATGCAATTTATTCATTTTAACACTTCCAGGTACATTCGTACTGTACCAGCTTCCAAGATCTGCACAGGGCACAGAAAATTGTCTGGTTGGCTTGGCAGCACAAGACAGTGTTTATACAACTATCCCTCTAAAGTAATTTAAAAATTGGTTTTGTATGGATTATGTATGACTGAATAGCTAGACAAAGTAGACTTACAGCTTCATCAGTTAAAATTCACAAGCCATGCCTCATTCATTTACACTGATTTCAGTCAGTAGTATAATAAATTGATGCAAATTATAAATACACTTTAGCAACAATGGCATGCAACAGAAATATGTATATATGCAACAGAAGTACATATATGCAACCTAGGAGACAATAAAAAGCTGTACCTCAAAAGCCACAAGAAACAGAGCCTTTATGCAACGTCAGTAAACCATCATAAAGGTTCCCATTGTTTTCCAATAAGAAATTGTGGTAACTAAAACATGGAACTATGGTTCTTCTAAGTCCTTTCCATTATACTTAGGTGCATTTTCTCATAATTATTTCACAGTATTTTAGGCAATTGAAAATTTTAGTACAGTTTAGTTTAACTTTGTTTCTAACAGATATCTTCATTCTTCAAGGAAAATCCAGTGTGCCACTATTATTACATTTTTATTTTAGCTATGATTAAACAAGGATGATAATTATCCATTTGGTATGGAAAAAGGGATCCCAAGTCCCAAAATCCATCCACACATGTTGAATGCAACCACAGTGTTGCAGACATGCTGACTTTACAATATAGCCAGGCTTCTAGTTTCCTTCACTTTAATCATTATTTGATGTGTATAACAATTCCAACTGCTTCATGTGCACACTATTCAAATACCAGACTGTAAAAGAGGTGGAAAGAATGTTTCGTTTTTACTCAGTTGGCAACCATGTCCAAATTCATGGAAGTAATGAGCTCAATATGCATGACAACTGTGATAAAGAATATCATTGCTATTGCAAGTACAGAACTGCTTTAATGTGGAGGGAAAGCAACAAAATTAAGATCTGTAAACAAATATGAACAGATAATAGTTCTGAAACAAGACTTTGTGAAGTAATTCCCACATATAGCACACCACAGTCAGCCAACAGGTTACAAATAAGAATTTCTACATTTTATGGCACACAGGCAGAGCTATCTCAATTCCACATTTGTTATCCATCAATTGCCATATGAATCAGTAATTAACAACACATGATGATGACACTATTGTATGTTCCAGTCCTACGACCTTTTCGTTAACTTTCAATCTGAAAGAAAGAAATAACTGTTCCTCAAGCATAGCTTTTAAATAAACCCAGTTGTTCAAAAATTCAAAATAATGGAAGGGTTAAGTTATTAGTTCTGATAGAGAAGGAAGGAGAATCAGTATGCCCTGAGATTCCATAGATATTAAATACATATTTCAAAATACGTATCTTACAATCATATCTTGGGGATAAATCTGTTAAGACTAAGAGTAACCATCTGATTTATGTAAATGTATAAGTTGAGATTAAATAAAGGCTCTTTCTGACAGTCATCTTGTCTCTGGTAATACCTTCGTATCCTTCTGGTAAGCCCTGGTAAGATTCTGGATTTCATTCTCAGATTCTGTGGCATGTACTTTTTCTTTCTCCCAGCACTGTTGTACATTCTGTAGTTCCATTTTTAACGTTTCTATTAAAGTCCCTCTGTCTGCACACTTAGTTTGCAGATGATTTAACTCTTCATTGGCATCAGCCAGGTTATCCCGAGCTTCCTGTAGAACAGAGGCATGGAACAGAAATGTTGGGAAGAATTTTACTCTATAAAATGTCACTTTGGTCCAGTTCTCAGCATCTGAGGAAGAAAGGTCATATAGACTCCAGGTTAAGCTGACTATCTTGTCAACAGAATTTCAACATTGACAGTCAGTCTTCTCCACAGCTTGTAACCAGACAGCATCAGAAATCTATCTCTGAGATTGAAAAGCTCCATGATGTAGTGAGCTTCAGAATCCCTTCCAGCCCCACAACTGAGACAGAGAATGCATGGATGAAAGCTATCCTCTGCAGAGCGGAAAGCTCTCACAGCAAATGAAATGATATAGTATTCTCTTAAGTAAATTCTGATCCATTACAGCTGAGTCAGTAGGCAATGCAGCTCTTGTTACCCACTGCATTTTCTATCTGCGTGATAAAAAAATTTGAGGACTCACTTTGGAGGTTTGACCATGGGAAGAAACTAATAATCAGAAAGGGTCATAAATACAATCATTATGTTACCAGTACCAAATCTCACAAGATAAGCAAAGAACTTAAGACATTTATTACTGTGGACAGATACACATGCTTTCCTCTCCTACAAGCACTGGACTTCCAGCACTACTAAAGCTTGCTAGAGGTCAAACTGAAAGCATTATTTGTGTCTCATAAAATCGTAGCTCCTTATACAGGAAATATAACAGAAAAAATACTCCCAAATTTATCTGGCAATGATATCTTTTATTCTTCTTAATAAAAATATTGCAAGATTAAAGCAATGCTAAATTTCTAACACAAACATTTTCACATCAGATCTGGTTTTTACTCATACATACAACTTTATTACCAAAAATTTAAAGAGATCAGAAACTGGTGCACTGCATAAAAAACAGCACTACCTGCGTGTAACAAAGTCAGTTTTTCCATAAAGAATACACGTATTTGTTGCAAAGGGTTGCAAAATTTTTAGGTGACTGACAAATATGCTGTGACTTTTGACATAAATCAGTAAAGAAAGTTCAGATCAGATGACAGGAGATCATGCACAAATATCAATTAATATGACAATTCAATGAGTGTTGCATAAGTACCTCTTGACTAAACTGAAGTGATAAAGCAGTATATCCCCAGCAAAAGAATCTGAGAAACACTGGGAGTAGAGACATTCTATTTTGGCAGTAATATAATACACTGTCGGTTGAGAGATTAAGTTTAACCATGACCTCAGGACTTCCTCACCTCCTTGGCCACCGATGTAACCAGACAGGACATTACAAAAGTGGTGTGTCAGCCAGAAAACAGAGACCAAAAATATTCTTGTTCAGAAACTAAAAGAGTTCTCAAGTGTTTTTATCAGTTCCCAGGTAGATTTTACACTAAGAAATTTTGGGCGGCACACTGTATAACTGTTAGGGATTACATGTTTCACACATGCATTAACTTCTCTGATAAACACAAACAAAAAAAAATTAACAATGGAAAGGACATCTTTAATAAAACGTGCTTTCACAGGAACAAAGGCAATTCAGTTCTCATTTTCCTGAGAAAAACAGTTTAAAAAAAAAAAAATACCGATGCAGATTTCAACATAAAACAATACTTCGCAAATCAATAAATCTATTTCAAATTATTTCGGAAGAGCATTCATTGAAATGGTCAGCTACGTAGTCCAAGGTGGTAACCAGAATAAAGCAGCACGGTCTCTTACAAGCTTGCCGGGTTAACTAGTCTGCTCAACAGAATATAACGAGGCAAAGGCTTATTCCGATAAGAAAAAAAACAGATTCCTTAAATTCAGGAAGATATTTTTTGCAGAACTTTCCAATATTATGTTAAGTTCATGAAACCATACCTTAAAGTCTTGTCTTAAAGTACACATTTCCTCTTTGGAGATCTCAAGTTCTTTTGTAATTTTTTCACATAAAGCCTTCATTTTCCTAAGCTGTGAAAAATATGGAGGTCAAATCAGCTTTTATAGAATAGCTATATAATCACTTGAATATAAAGAATTAGGTATGTAAATGTAAAATATTTGTTTTCAATTTCTTTGACAGTATTTATACTCCATACAATCTAAATAATGTGCCATTACAAAAGCACTAAGTAACTCTTTTACAATGATTTAAGATAAACAGCAGTGGCAGAATCCCAAACCGAGTCCACTATTAGCTTTCCCATTAACTCTCAAAATATCTGATAGAAATACAGAATTTTAAATACATTGGAAAATGTAATAAATTCTGATTATGGTCTGGGGCGTGATTTGAGAAAACAAGTTTTCAAAGTCAGTCACCGTTTGCAGATCTCTACATTTTACTGATTGTTGGACAGTACTCACATACCTTAAAAAAGCAGCAATGTTCCTGAGAGGCATGATGACTACTGAACTCTTTTTGGTGTTAGAAGCAACTACCTTAGAGGTAGCTCATGAGTGTAATGCTTACCAGCTTCACACTCCACTTTCAAAGACGATAACAACATATCATAATTTGAACCTTTGGTTACCTGATGATGAGGTTATCAATACAAACCTCTGAAATAAAAGCACTGCATAGAAAAGTATTATAGCACAAGTTACTGCTGGCATTTTCACCTGACGGAGTAACTCAGAAGTAAAATCTCCCATTTACAAAATCTACAAGCTGCTTTGGAAATCGTATTTTCATTTGATCTCAAATCAGGAGACCTGGCAGAACCCTTAGAAATAAATTACATTAAATTACAGAATATTGCTGGAATATTTCCAGTCTTTGTGTTAGTTTACTAGCCTTCTCTCTCTTCCCAAACATATTCTAGCCTCTGCACTATATAAAGTCAAAAGCTTGTTATCTATCAAAACCAAAAACACTTTTAAACAAATGAACTAGATATTTTAATCTAATGTTTAATACAGTAAGTTAAAGGTGACACATGACAAGTTTACCAGCATATTTCATATATACATACTGGCATATATCAACAACTCCATCAACATGTGGGGTCTTGTTGAAAATATCTCTATAAAAAGAACCACTACATAATTACTCAAAGCTAAACCCTTACTGCTGTGTATTAAAACATCCTGTATTTATTGTGCAGTGCCCTTCATAGTCCCTTTGTGCATTATTGTATTATTAAAAAGTTTTATTACTAAACACGTCTAATATGTAAAGAGCCAAAAGCAGCATTATCTATGGGGGCTGGGGTAACCAAGAAGGACAGAGCACTGCCCTTTCTGTGCACCATGAAGGGGCTCCGTGATCTCTGGCTCCCTATGACAACTCCAGGGTCAGTCACACACAGTACTACTGGGAAGTCTTGTGGCAGGTCATCTGTTGGTCCTGCTCTGCTGGCGATTTATTTTCCTTGACAGTTCATTCTTCTTTCTGTCAGAATACTCTCTTTGCTTTCTTAGCAGCCATCCCCTTGGTCTCCCCACTGCTGCCTCTGGCACAGTTTCACAACAAAGCACATCACTAAGCCAAAGCCTGCTGAGTCGACTTTTCAACTGTGCTGCCTATCACGTGACATTCCTCCTCCTAAGTAACAATTCGCTGTGGGTAATATGTTCCTAGTTACTCTGCAGCTTCCAGACTTGGGTCTCTGAAGAGTTTCATAATGACTATACACATCAGTTCTCTTATCTCTCTGGGAGAGACCTAACAGTTCTTGCTGTTTACAAAAGTATAATTGTTTCCATGGTCCCTTATTTTTGTGTCCATTGAACAAACTCAAAGGTCTCACAGGAGACCATTCTTTTCCCAACAAAAGGGACAAAGCGGACATACTTTTCTTCTGTTATTTTTTTTCTCTTTTTTAAACACTGTGAGTGACCAGCCAGACTACATGCAGGTCAAAACAGAAGACAAAACCTAGAAATGAAAAAACAGTACTGGCATTTTTACAATATTTTCAGACCTTGCCTTTCTGTATTTGCCAATTTTATCCAAAGATAAGCTAATTACAAGTTTGTACAGAGAGCTTTAACAGTGCAGTTAACTTCTCTCTACAGCCTTTAAAGCCACAAATTCATAAAACATTTACACCCAAGAGGATTAATTTAATCACATTAGCAATACAAATGAGAAAATAAATGCAAGATTGTGACTTTTCAGTCAGTGAAATAAAAGGCAAGTAGGGCTGCATAGAAAACATTTTCATTTTTCCAAGGGTAAGACTTCAAAAATGGAAATATTTCCATTACTGTCTTAGATAACATAAAGGAAGTATTGCCACAGCATTGTACTTGAAAAGACCTCAAAATAGTACCAAAAGAGATTTTATTGTAAACACACTCATCTCAGAAAATTATGCCACTTTCTAAATGTACAAAGGCATGCATATTTACATAACTGATACCAATGACTGTTGAGTATTGTGTATTTAGGAATATTGCTGTATACAGCATCCAATTCATAAATCATCACCTTTTAACTGAAATCCTAGATGTGACTGGCTTGTTTTCTTGAATGTTTATTGAAAATAACAACCCAAGCAGATTCAGTAAGAGAATATTTACTGAGAGAGAGAGGGAGAGAGGAAGAGAGAGAGGGACTCTCTTCTCCCTGTCCCCCCAAATGTAAGTGAAACTTCACTGTAGGGCAAGCTTAGAGAAATAGTAGTGACAGAGATTATTTCTCTGGGGATACATGAAGCTGTCAACTCAACATTCCCACTCTTCTGACCTTTTTTACAAGAAAAGTGTATGAAGTGCTGCAGGCCGAAGGCGATACATATAGAGCCAAACAGTGCAAGTGTTACCTCATTAGACATATCTTCCAGCTTGTTCTGGTAAGCTGTCAATGTACACCTCAAAGTATCAAGGACAGAGAGGCTTGGAGGTTTTTCTTTGTCCTTACAAGTGCCTGAAGAAAAATACAGAATGAAAATTAAGCCTTAAAGCCACAGAGAAAACTACTCACCCTGGATGAGAGGTATCAAGATTAGTTACGGCTTCAGTGACAGTAAAAAACACTGAACAGCAGTCTTGTTTGTCACAAGAGATGCAGCTGAATAGCCACACTTTCACAGCAAATACAGCTGCAATACGTTTGTGTAAAAGCTTTAATATAAGATACAGAACTGTAAATCCTGGATTACATTTCTACCTAATGTATTTGGTATGCGGTCTCTACTGTGCTCAATCTGTGTCATGCAGTCAGATCAGTCAACTTTAAAACCACACAATAACACACTTTGGAAAACACGTTGCCTGAAAATTAGGCATGTTACACTTCTCATGGCATTATTTTGCTGTTGTGACTAAGCATGTGTATTATAATGTAGTACTTCATTTACTCAAATCTTTACTAAGCCAAAGATCACATGACTATGTTGTGCTTGGAGAGGTCTTAAAAAACTTTTAAATGATCTTGAATTTCAATCCAAAGAAAATTTAAAAAACAATTATTATCTGTCAGCAGAGTCCTACATAACGTTTCAATTATAAATCTTACAGCTGATATATCCAGCATATACACACTACACTTATTTATTAAACCCTTGGACGGAGACTTCTGATCTGGTTGCCATAATTAGGGACATATGAACAAGTCTGAGCGTTCTAAAGCCTGTAGTACAATATGCTAAGAAAGCAAAACAACATTGTATTGATCAGGAGGTCAAAAGATGTCAGCTGATATTAAATTTCCAAGAAGAAACTATTCTCTTTTTTTCTAGTGTTGCAGCAAAATACCAGGTTGTTGACAGACTCTTTTTCTCAGCATTATTTATACTAGTATGCAGCATTTATAATCTTATTTTGTCACAAATCACTGTATCATCTTTTCCACGAGTCTTAACATGTTCTATAAACAAAATAACTTTACCAATGCTCATAGCATCCTTATTTTGCAAAAGAAGTGAAAAAAAATGTGTCATTTAAACTCCAGAGAGTCTACACAACCATAATCCTCAGCAGAACTAAATGATGGTGTCACTAACCAACTTACCTAGGGTGGCTCATAAAGTCAAATCAGATACTAAATTCTAAGCTTTTTCTTTGGCTCTCCGTAAAACTTTGGCAGCTAGAGGAGGTGCAGTTACAGACTTGCAGGTTGTTGGGTTTTTTTAAGAATCTTGTTGCTAGTGTTATCTAATAAGCATGATATTCTACTCAAAGCATTATAGAAAAATGATAGGTTTGTCCCATAGGCTATACATAATGCACTAACGGTAGTGAGTGGAAAACTTACACACAAGTCGGAAAATATTGCAAATACACATTCTGAAAAGTTTTTCATTAACTGGTCTTCTCGCTCCCAGTCCTTTGATAATATCAAAAAGCATAGAGTACTATTCAGATTGGACACTAACTCTTCACTTTGATCTTTCAGCCACCTGTTACTGTCTAAGTCACACCTAGACAAACCAATGCAGGCTTGCCAGATTGCTTTCAGTAACAAGAGCTCTACACAGTATGCAAGTGAATTTAAAAAGAACGTACACCTCGGTGACAGACTTTGTTCTGTCCTATCAGTCACATCATTAGAAAACATTTATCATGGTTTCTAGATGTCTACAGATTCAGGGAAAAGCAAAATCATCTTAATGAGACTCCAGTGCCCTTAACCAAACATCTGAGTCCTAGAGATGCCCCAAAGAGCAATGTTACAACCTAAGAAGAATTCATAAAATCTGACCTTGTGTGAGAAGATCAGGTTTCACATTTGAGAAAGAGACTAATACACCTTACTCTCATTTTTATCACTTAACCACAGCTATAGTTAAGGATGCACAGAGCTCCAGTCTCCTGTCTTCTCAATTAAAGAGCAACTTCTCACTACTACTCATTGTGGGAATATTTTGCAGCGATCTGGCTGCACAGAAAAAAGAAAGTACCATTCCTTCACAGTTCTAGTTCTGGAGAAGTTGTAACCCACAATTCTCATTCAGTCTAAAATAAAGTCAAAATAGGGATTGTCTTCCATCCTATAGTTTTCACCAAGCTGTCTAAACAATGCATCTTCATTTCTAAAGTCCCAACTTGCAACACTGTCACTGAAACACGCTTCTGAACTATCTTTATTTACACCATGTTTGCCAAAACCAGACCTTTGCCAATAAACCTTCCACAGTGGCATTCCTTGCCCTTGCTGCAACCCTGTTTTCTAGTCAGCCTGGTCTGCCAGCAGAAATACCAGATTCCACCTTCCTGCACTAGCCTATGGCCTTAATACTGGCCAAACATTGTCTTCACATAACTAGGCAGGAGATACACAACATAATCCAAATAGCACTCTCTTGCTGGAGAGGCCCTACTTCAGCAGTAAGAAAAAAGAACCCAATACTTGAGGCATTTGAGTTTGGGGGAAGAATGCTGGGAAAACGCCAGGTTCAACAACAGTGCTGAAAAAAATCACAAGAGTCTCTTAAAAAGGAGAAGACACGGATTCATGCTTACTCTTTTGGAACGTAAAAGGGAAGAAATACGGGTTTTTTTATACTTTGGATCTTAAAAACAGGAACTCTTCTTTTCCAGTATAGCCCAATTAATCACAGCTTAATCAGCATTTAAATGAAGGGGCCAGACCTTTAATACTGACAGATAAAGTAGATCTCTCAACCACTTGCACTGAAAGCTAAAAATGACAACAAGAAAAGAAAGACTGCCCAGTCAACTGTGGCTCTTGTAGTCCCTTATCTGCTAATTAAGCTATAAAGATTTACTTAAGATTTTTACTTTTATTGTTACCTAGGCATTCCCATTTTAAATATGATTACATCAAATATTTTTTAAAATTAAAAGAAACGGAATTACATAATAAATTCGTTAAGAAGAAACAGTAAGGCAGTACCATTAAAAATTTAAGTTTCACACTTGGAAGCACAGTAAATATGTAGAACAAATGTCTTAGTCAACATCCATTTTCATACATAAAACCATAAAGACTCAATGCCTAGCAGAGCTAAATTTGACTTCCTGCCTCAACTGAGCCTCTTCAGAGATGCTGGAGCTTAGGAAAAAAAAAATCTCTTTATATAAGACCTTTCAAAGTTTACCTTAAACAAAGCAAATTAATACTGAAGTTACTGTTACTGAATCTCTAATATTATAGAAACAGGTCAAAGCTGTTTTCTGTAAGGTCTACCACTAGGGAGAACAGAAAACCTACCCAAAAGACAACTACTGCTTTGGAAACTGCACTTTAGCAGCAGCATCCAGCTCCCCCCAGAATTGCCGAAGACCCTGTGGGCACGTGGAACTTCTCAAGATTGACAAAAACATAGTTTTGAAGAGCTTTTCAGTCCGATGTATCTACAGCAAAGCCTACAGGTATTACTCACAGGAATTGCATTTGTAATTACAGAATAAAACTGATACCAGTTCACAAATAAAAAATGTGAGGAAATCAATGCATCACAGATTCAAGGCTAGGCTTTTAAGGACAACAGAAATCTCAAGAAGTTCCTTTATTCAATTTTAATAGTACCAGGTCCCCCAAAAAATATTTTTTTTGTGAAGATAGAAAAAAAATGCATCTTCATTTAAAGGTGTAATACGATCCACTTATGTCTAGCGTTGATAAAAAGGGCAGAAACGTGTCATCATAGTTTGCATAAAATAAGCCCATTTGCTCTTTAAGCAACATTTTGCGTGCTATGTTCCAGTAAGTAGGAAGCATTTTGTGTATAGTGTGATTTTTCTAGTGGGAATCACATAGAGAAAACTTTTACAGGTAGTTTTTAAAGTGAACTCTTTTCACCTTAAAAAAATAACTAGCTTTGATGTTAAAATTCAGCCTGTTTGATAGCCACTATTTCAAATGTTTAAGCAGGCAGCAGTTTGTTGAGTTCGATTCAATCGTTACAAATAAAACTAAGTAGCAGAGTGACAACCACTGACTTACAATTAATTTTAATGAAAAGAGAGAAATATTTGTTCTGTACTAGATCAAATGAATGCAATATAGTACTAGTCCACAATCAATAAAAAGCATTGTGTTATATCCGGTGTCCTACACAACCTTTTTGAATACATGACCTTTAAGTTGCTGAAGGTTGCCTCAGAATTTGGCTCAGTTCAGGCAAAACATCTGTTCCCTTTGCAGGTATACTGTAAGGACTTTTTTCTCAGTTGGATTTAGAGCACAGCAAGTGAGCCCTTTTCTGACCGATCATATACACCCCAGCATTTGTAAATCAAGCTCTGGGCTGACAACAGCAGGTCCACATTCCGTCACCCTTTCTCAGCTAGCAAGGCCATTTGACTGCTGTGAGAACTGCTCTTATCATGTCATCAAATCAAAGCATGTTGAGAAGAGGGAATGCAAGAGGCATCTGCAGAATTCCCACAATGTAGTGACTTTGGAACATTGACAGATGCATCTGTCATTTTATACCTTCAACTAACCTGCTGTCCGCTGGCCTGACATAGCAAAGCTGTCCAAGAGTAACTCCAGCTCTCTCATGTTGTTTTCATACGTCTCTGTTAGAAAGACCTGGTGTTTCTTGGCCTTTATTTGACAGCAGATACAGACAAGACAAGAGGGGAGGAAAAAAAGAAACCCATTAAAATAGTAAACAGAAGAAATACAAACCACAATGGTAAGTTTGTTCCCCTTTAAATTTCTGCTATATTTCTTGTTACTTCTTTTCTAAAGCCAAGTGACCTAACATGATATCACAAATACATAACACAGATTACCGTAATACATTTAAAATAGAATTAAAGGTTTCAGTTAGTCAGAATAAAAAGAAAGAACTGTTATATTAAATCTATTCTTGATTGTCTTCTGCTTTAAAAATATATGAATGAACATTAATTAGCTGCTCCCCATCTATGCAAGCAATAAAATCTATTGTTACACCCTACAAGGGCATCGAGAAAGACACCAAAGTACTGGCAGACAGGCTAGAAATTCATGATTTGGCACTCAGTCAAATTCCTCACCTATTCTCATTTCAAACCTGCCTACTTTAATTGTTAGTATCTCCTATGCTTGAAAATGATTTCTTCAATATCAAAAAACTCTTCCTTATGCACAGAATATAAAGCAGCAGAGTCCTTCAGCTTCTATCACTGAATTTTCTTAAAGAAAGCTGTTCACTAAGTGCAGCCTATTGTTAAAATCTGGCTTTATTCTGAGGGCAGAGAGGTATTACAGCAGATTTTTTCACCACTATAAAAGAAAGACTGTATCAAATCGTTCCTTCAATTCATATATGATATCAAAACATGCAGTTTTTGAAGATATGCATCAGTAATCCTAGACAAAATCACGATCCTCTTGGACATACATGATTCTGATTTCTCAAAGAAATGAGCAATTTTAGCAGCTGACTGACAAAAAGTAATACATCTCAGCAGTTTAGAAAACAAAAACCAAATCCAAAACCCCAAGAATCCCTCCCCCCAAATCAAGAGGAAACTACATTTAAATTCCTTCATGATTTTCTTATGATAAAGGTTATGTTTAAAGATGTCTCATTACTTTTTATTTCTCAATTTATTTTTATTATAAATTCTAACATTTATTTCCATTTCTGCTTGGTGATGGAAGGCTACCCTTTTTGTATTGAGAAAAATCCTACTGTTTTCTACCATATCTATCTATAAACCTCTGCTTTAGTTATGCTTCACTGCACGTGTAAGGATCCAGTCAAGTTCTCAAGTGTGGGAAACATTCTCCCCAGGAAAACTGCTTCATATTGGTAGCATATAACGGTCAGGCTAAAAAAACCAAGAGATGCATTTAATTCTCTGCAGTGTTCTTCACTATTCAGTTTAAATATTTTATAAATTTGCTTTACTCTTTCAATTTTAATTACATGTACTGTATATCAACTAATATATTATTCATATGTGTATTTCAATGTTAGGTCCCCTGTAGCATTTACACGCCTTTCCTTGTGTGTGATTTTGTACTATGCTTCATGAAGAATTTCCAAACCACTTCCATATATTCAAAAATAACTACGTTTTTATTCTTACTCTATAGCATTATCTATATAAACATAGCTTGTAATTGGAGAGCTCCAGTAAAAATATTTTATGGGATGCAAACACATTAAAATAATTTATTCCCATGTCCTGATACCATCTCAAAACCTCACATATTACAAACAAGAAAATTTAATGCTATGATCAGCATCACAATAAAATAAATACTCTTTTTACATTAATCACTCCTGCACAGCCGAGGTTGGACTAAATCCTCCCAGAAAAGCCTTTTCCCATGAAAAAGTCAAATGTGAGATTTTTTTTTTAAATCTCATAATTTTTTTATTTGGCTTAGTTAATTCACCACAGTTTAGTCAGTATATTCCAGTCTGTTCTGCTTTTGCCACCTGCCTGTCTTTTGCTAGCTGCATCTACACTCCCTAAGCCAATTTCAGTGTCTTTTTCAACAGCAATAAAGATCAAAAGGAAATTTCTTAGACTAGCCAGTTTCTCTACACTTTAGCTGCTAAGTATTTAGTATTTCTTCTTTCTAATCCCCATTTTCAGCCACTGTCCCTGGTATCAGTAATTGAAGAAAAATACTGTAAAACTACAGTGCTGCAAATCCAGGCACAGGTTAAGAGTCCTAAAGGATCTGAACATATCGATCTAATTTCTTAAGTCTCACTGAAAGGTACCTAATAAGAATGTGTAGAGCCATAAAATCATGGAATAATTTAAGCTGACAGGATCTCTGGAGGTCATCTGGTCCCATTTCCCACTCAAAGCAGAGCCGTGCATAAAGTCAGGTTAGTTTGCTCAAAGTCTTGACCAGTCAAGTTCTGAGTATCCTCAAGGATGGAGTTTCAACAACCCCTTCTGGCAAGCTGCTCCAGTATCTCAGAATTCTCGCTGTGAAGTGTTCTTTTTACCCCTTACAGGTAATTAAAATTTCCCTTTCTAAATCTTCTGTTTTCTCTCATACTTTCACTGCACAGTTCTAAGGAGAGTGTAGCTCCGTCTTCTCCATAAGCAGCCATTTGATAGTTCATGACAGTAGCTACAACTTCCTTTACTTTGTTTTAGTCTGAACAAACACAGCAAGTGCACAGAACTTTACTTTTAAAAGCAAAATGGAGTGCTCAAGTGTAGGAGTCAAACATAATCAACTGCAGCTGCTCAAAGATATCTTCTGCCAGAACCAACCATTCCAGGAGATGAGTTTACTTTCCTCTTGGCAACTCCATCCATCATCATATGTGTGTTAGGTGACGCCATTCCTGCAGAACTACTCAAAAGGCAAATCAGGTGACAAAGCGTTAAAGCCTTTACTGAGAGTTTGCCTCCCAGACAACATTACTAGAAAAAGGTACCAACAGTACCAACACCATCTGGTGATGGTAGAGCAAGCGCCGAAGACAGAAGTATCCACACGGCCACCAAAAAGCAGTATGTTCAAATACTCCTTGAAAAATATTTGGGTAAATTCTTTACAAAAGCATCAAAGCGTTTACCAGGCATGGCCTTGTTCTATGAGGGAACCAAATCAAATCATTTATGGAAATAGGCTCAAATGACTGCTCCACAGTTAACAAAAAATGAGTTTTACTTGAGTGAAGCTCTGTATACAACTGTGGCACAAAACTTGAAGCAACCAAGCATAAATTGCAGTAGAAAAAAATGAACAAAACCCTCACTGACAATCTCCCTCCTTAGGCTACCATTTATATTTGCTCACGCTGTCTAACCATCAAACACATAATAGACTTTCCTTGTTTTCCTATATTAGCTAGAATTTTCCAAAGTCTATAGAGGAGTCTTTAAAACGTGTTTAGCCATGTGTCAATTAAATACATTTTCTCAAGAAATCTAGTGTCTCACTTTTAATCACCCAAAATCAAATTAATCAAAAATGTACAAGTTTTGTGTGGAACTAATCTAGTCCCCTAAAGAGAGATTTGTAACAATCTTTTGGTAGGAGAGAATGTTAGGAAGTATCCCTTCGGAAGTTTTGCTTTTGGTGGGGTTTTTTTAGTCAGATAAATTTTTTTTGAGAACTGGCAACTTTAAAAGCATTTTTAGATGCCTGTCTTCAAGCAGTGAGACATCACAGCTTAAGCGACGTCTCCACTTCTAGAATAAATCACAAAATTGGTTTATTTGTAGAAGATCATTTAAGCGTACGCTTCAGATTGATCAATCTTCTTAAATTAGGACAATAATAGAAGTAGCACCTGGGTAGGAACACTCTACCCCTGAATTAAGGCAAGCAAGCCAAGAACCGAGGTAACATAATATTTAACAATCAGTAGCACAAAGATAATGAAGACTGTGTTTCAGCTTTTTTTAAATTGACAGAAAAAGCTCTGTTCACAATAAATCATCTGGATGAGATACAAATCTTTGCTACTGAGTACCAGTACTGATTCTAATCCACAGAATTTGTAGAACAGAATCATACTCTTCAGGGTGTTCTACTGTCTGTTCAGTCAGCACTTAAGACACTTCTACTAAAGAATAATGGTTAATGCCTATGCCCAGGAACTACATTCTCAAACACTTCTCTTCTGACTTTCAGCTTATGATAACCTACAATGCTGTTACAGACAGCCTAGACATATACAGCACATGACTCCAGGCATGGCTATAAGAGAAATATGTATATGCCACACAGAAAAAGACCTACTCTAGGTGGAATCTATTACACCACTTACACATTAATTATGCCACTCCTGATAGTACCTACATAAAAGGGGGGAAATACACATATAGTTCTTCCAAACTAAAGGAATTTATCCTGCAATACCCTATTTTTAATTACTTCAATTTCCTAATATGCATTCTGGTGAATTGACAAGTTTCCCAAATTTCAAAATATTTCTCATAAAATAAAGGTACTAAGAATTAAAGAACATCCACTACTAGGTGCCAGAATTGTAAATATCCTGAGTAAATTTTAAAACCATTAAAGACACCTTTTATTCCTTCCATGGGGCAGGAATACAGCTGGGGCTATTTAAATTTAAGACAAGGTCTGAATCACAATGGCCATTCTTCCAAATTCCTATTCTACAAGCTTAAAAATGCTAAAATCCTAGCTGGAAATAATGACAAGCTTGAGACCAATTTCCTCAGAAAAACATAGTGGAAATCTTAGAGGAAATCTTGAGAGCCTGTTCATGCTGAACATTCATAAGCAGTTCTGTTTGATACCAACAGATCCTACCGCATTTGATCCATGCAAATTTCTGGCAAACTTCTGCCACATGCTGATATTTAAAATTAAAAGTAGCATAACTACTTTACTATACATTCAACTGAGTCATAAAAAAAAAGTTCTTTTTCACAGAAAGCTTTCAAATAACGTATTTTTTTCCTGCATAGGTCCACTTCTCTGAAAACAAGTGTTTTCATCAGTTTGATTATATTTCCCAGATATTTTACTGACAAAAACTTTAACTTGTATTGCAGCAATACAGCGGCAAACCAATATGAAATATTCAGACTAGAGTGGAAAGAACATATTCAGGATATCTAACAATAGTATAAAATATAAGAAAGTAATTAATAGATCAAGAAAGTAGGAGGAGGAAATGAAGAAAGCACACTGACATTTTTGCACAATTTCAGTATAGATATAGGGAACACTAATAACAGTATATGAAACGTTATCTATATTTAGCTTCTGCTACAGTATTTGGCTTTTTCATTTTGGAAAGAAAAATAACAAAAAGCTGTCCACACTGAGTAAACAAGACCACACACAGGCACTCCTGCTTCCCAAACAAATACAAAAGTCTTCAGGAAAAATACAAAGCCATCCAAGGTGATAAAAATCTAATCCCATAGGGAACCACTAATACAACTCCTCAGAAAATGAGTATTTTTATTACCTGTTCAAGACAGTCTTGTGGTTTGAAATCCTTCCAGTAAAACAATTAAAACAACTGGCTCTATGAATAAGACAGTTCTTTTAACTGCGACCATATATTCTATTTTTCACTGCTCAGTAATGTTCATTTTGAGTACACCATTTAATTCTGTTGTCATTTCCAGAAAACTTGATCCTGAACAGAATTTTGTCCTGAATTCTTGTCAGGTATAAGAACATTTTACTAAGGAATATAAAATGAAAAACTATCACAGGAATAACTAGCAAGCATTCTAGGTGCCTAGTGGAAATTTTTCAGCTTGGAATTGTATTTTATATCAGTAAATACTGACTGTAGTTAGGGAGACAGTTGGTTTTGCCTATTTGTATTCCTTTTGTGCTTGGTAAGATGTCTTTTCTCAGGTTAACTAGGCCAGCAAATGCCTTTTAATACATTAATGTTTGCAGGGAAGAAGCTGTGATTCTCCCAAAACGAAGAGAGGGCTTTGATTTTCCTTCAATTAGTTATTAGTTACCAATTAGTATTATTTACCAATCTGTCTGGGAAGTGGATAACACTAAGACACTGTATGGAATAAGTCCAGCTGAACAGAAGATTCCGACAAGTCTGAATATTCACTGATGCGGGTGTCTGCTCCAGCTCACTGATAAGCACAGTGCCTGTCAGCAGCAGGGAACAGACCACATTTAACTTCCAAACTCTCAGCTCCAAGAGAGAGAAAGAGGAAAAAACGTGCAAGCCAGTATCAAAAAAAAGTTTACACTAAGTATAAAAATACTGTAAATGCTACCACAAAATAGAAGGACAGAATATTTTCTAGATATCCAAAGATTTTTTGTTTTGTCCCTGCTGCTATGCAACAGGATGGTAAAATTGTTATTCAAAGCTGAGGTGGACAGAGACAGTGGGAGAGCCCCAACTGGTAATATAAAAGAAGAAACATTTAAAAAAATAGTCCAGAAAAACACGTCCACATGCCAAATCCATGTTAAAAAAAAAAAAAAATTCACTCTTGCTTTCTCACCTTCAAATAAGCAACCTTCAAGCAATTTTTGCAGTCAAATGCTTCCACTAAAAATGTTACATAAAACAGAAATAAATAATCCTACAGTGGTAGCTAATAAGACTTGAAGAAAAAAGTTTGAGTAGAAACATAGAATATTCTCCACAAGGAATCATAATACATATCTACAAATTGTCTTCTTCGCTAGGAATGCAAGCACAAGTTACTCTTTACTCATAGCCACATCTCTGCAAGTTTTATGCAATAACTCTTCAGTTAAATACACAGTGTACAACTTCAAATGCATTTTCAAAGTAACTTCTCCAGTGTATTACCCATGGATTACAAAAGAAAGTAACATAAGCAAAATCAGAGTAACACAATGGCAGAGTTCTTCCAAGGCTCATCACAGCAAATGCAATTGTGTTCACATTTAAAAAACCGTAAACAATGAGTGCCAAAGGCCTTTTGTCTTACCATTGCAAGCTCCTTCTGTAATTCTCTGCAGGTTTTTTCACTATTCCTTAGTCTGTCAGAGAGGTCTTTGATTACCACCTTCTCTTCCTCAATCTTCTCATTCATTTGCTTGTTTGTGGAGAACAACTCTGTTTCTAACCTGAAAGTTTCAGCATTAGAACATTTTTAGCAAAAATACTTCTGTCAAGTCTCCTTGTTATTTTTTAAGATGATCAACAGATGTGGCACATAATTAGCACACCATATGGCTTCTAAATTTGCCTTTTTTTTTACCTGATGAAGAAAGGCTTTTCAAGAAGTGATTATGTTCAGTTACCGAGGCTTGTAGGTCTCCAACCATAAATTTATTTGGCCATTTAGATATGGCCTCCAAATCACATATAATTAGCAGAATTACTCATATTTTTAAAAACGCAATAGCTCTCTTCAGAAAGATCACGTCTCATCTTGCATTATCAACCCTGATTTCAAGTAAAAAAATTGCTCCTATATTCTCCTCAGAATGGTATGACTTCATCTTTTTCCATCTGCAGACCGTTTCCAAAATTTGAAACAGCTCTTTATCCTTGTACTGAGGAAAACTTACATAAAGAGTTTGGTGTAGCTAAAAAGACAACTCATAAAAAATCAACAAGGCCAAAAAACAGCATACAGGAGACAGAAGAAGGGACAGGAATCCAGGGAAGAATTTGAAAAGATTGCCTGAGTATGTAGTCATGGTGTCAGCAAATCCAAAAGCTCAACCTACAACTGATATTTGCAAAGGATGACAAAGACAACAAGAGATTTTACCACTATCTTAAGGTAGGAAAGGAAAGAAGGACTTGCTTCTATACAGACTAGGTAACTCATCTACAGTCGACACAGAGAAGGTCATCACACTCAATGTCTATTTTGCCTCAGTTTCATTAACAAGGTCTCCCAGTCTCTGTGACTGGTAAAAGGGCTCAAAGAGGTGAAGCGCTGCTAGCAATAAATAAGGATTGAGTCTGGGGTAACTTGTCAGAACTTAACACACAGAAACTGAAAGGACCAGCTCACCTACACTCAGAGATTCTGACTAAGCTGGCCAATGTCACAGCAAGGCTGCTCATTATCATCTTTGAAAGGTCACAGAGATTGGAGGAGGCCCCAGGCAAACCGAGAAAGGCAAACGTCACACCTGTATTTGGAAAATGGCAAAAGTACAGGCCAAGGAACTATAGACCAGATAGTTTTATTTCAGTCCCAGGAATGTCATGATGCAAGCCATCTTATAACAAATTTCTGCATTCACAAAAGACAAAAAGGTGACTGAGAACAGTCAGTGAGTATTTACCAAGGCTAACTCATGTCTGGTCAGTCCAGTTATATTCCAAGATAAAACAGACAGACAAAAGGAGGGCAAGTAGATTCAACATAGCTCAACTTTAGCAAGGCTTTTGGCACTGTCTCACACAGTATCTTTATAGCCACATTCACTCTAGATATGCAAACTACAATACTGATAAAAATAGTTTGATGGTAAAACTTAGATGGTAGTGGTTGGTAACAACTGGAATACTGTAGGAATCTGTGTTACAGTCTTTTAACATCTTTTCATCACGTGGATTACATGAAGAGTGCAGTCTCATAAGTGTGCAGACAACAGTGAACTGGGTGGGAGTAGGTCATGACACAACACAATACACTCAAGCGAAGGGCTGTCATTGCCTAGAACCTAGATGGGGAGAAGGAACAAGCCAGCATGAATCTTCTGAGACTCAACAACGACAGGTCCAAAGACCTTAATTTAGAAAGCAAGAAGCCCTCTCAAGAGATATGTCTGGTGACTGGCAGCCATGCTCAAAATGGACCTAGTAATCTTGGTAGACAGCAAGCTACCCACCAATCAGCTGCACGGCATACAAGCAGCATACAACATCCTAGGCTGTATCAGAAGTAGCATAGCCAGAAGATCAAGGAAAGTGATTAATCACCTTTTATTTGGCACTCATTACAACATATCTAGGATAATGACCAGTTTTAAACACACACCTTCCCTGTAACAGGAAAAAAGTTGGAGTGAACTCAAAGCAGTCACCAACATCGTCAGGGGCTGAAACAGAACTGAGGGAATTTGTTATGTTCAGGATGTAGAAGAGAGAACTTCAAGGTGCATAAGAGGACCCCCAATATCTAAAAGAAGGTTATTAAGAAGATGCAGCCAGTCACTTCAGTACAATGTATGGCTAGAGGACAAGAGACAACAGTCATAAATCAAATCCAAAGAGGTTGACCAGTAGAAATATTTTTCCATGCTCATACCAGTAAAACAGCGGAACAGGTTCCTGGAGAGGTTGTGTCATCTCTATTCCAGGAAGTTTTCAATATCTAATTGGATAAAGCCCTAAGCAACCTGATCTCATAGCTGATCCTGCTTTGAGCAGAAGGTTGGACTATCGCCCTCAACCTGAACTATTCTTTGATGTAACTCTTAACAGTGGGAACATGTAGCTATCTTTCATTATCTTTGTTTCTGCTATCACTTGTCTCACTAGAACTGAAAGTAATGCAAACGACTCAAAGTTCTTCTAACTTTGAAACTTTTGAATCAATATTGTCACTTACCAACATTTACTTATTTCTGATAGATCAATGTATCTTGTATCAATATATCTCTTTAGCTGAAGGACTACTTTATCAATTCTCAAAATACCTATGTGCTTCTGCTTCAGCCTGGCTGATTTTTTCCTTTCAGCTTTAGATGGTTACTTTTTAGAGAAAGAACTTGACTGTTTCAGTCTCCCAAAGTAGCTTCTACTCCCACAGCTTTTAGAAACACAGCAAAAGCAGTTCCAATTCATTCTATGACATGCTCTCACTCTTCAAGGAAAGTAAATTCACATGGAGACCCAAATCCCACGTTACTTCCAATTTACATAGTGCTACAGGGTTCAGAGCTAATTAATAAATTATGCAACCCAGAAAAGCCTGTTTGCTTGGTTTCAGTTATTACAAGCATCTTTTTCTGAGAAAATAAATTCTCATAGCTTTGTATACCTTCCAACTTTGGTATCATTTATCCTACGTCAAGTCCAGCTAAAAACACAGACAACTGTTCTACCAATGAAAGTCTCCGAGACTTTCCAGAGACTAAGGCTTAAAAACCAAGTTGCAGGACTCCTCCAGAAAAAGGGAAAATATGTTAGGATGCCAAATCATGGCTTAAAAGAAAAAAACAAGCTCCTGACATTGTCTGGAGTCCAAGGACCACAGCCTTCAAAGGTAAGTAGATCAAAGGCTCTTGTATTCTCTCTGAAGGGATCTGGTGAAAGCAATCACTGATATTCACCAATGTTACTGATACTTGTATGCTTCAAAGAATAAAAAAGGCATAGGAATAGATAAGGCAGTACATGCCCACCCCACGTCATAACCTCAAGAGAACTGAGTATATTGATGTCCATCTGAGATAAAGTTTAACTTCCACTACCTATCTTTATGGACCTCTGAAAATTTAGGTGTCTGGACTAAGAAAATCGTTAAGGACAGGCTGTTTCTTCAAGCTCTGTTAACTAAAACACCATTTAACTGTGTTAACTTTCGTGGAAAGGTTTGCATTCTCTGAAAACACAGAAGATTTTTTTTTTTCAAAAAATTCTGTTGGTGGAAGCTGCTAGGAGTAATTGTCTGAATCAGCAGGTGATTCCAAGTAATGAAAAGTATTGTTTGGATATCAGATGAGGTTTATTCAGATATCAAATTAACACACAAAACAGATGCTTTAAGTAGGCATAAATTCTTTTTTATACTGAAAAAAGTACAAACCCGAACAAAACAGGGGAGAGTAAACCTGTCTTCCTTGGAAATAAGTGTTAAACAGAATTATCCAGTTTAGAGGAACAGGGGAAAGCTGTTGAAGGTTCTTGTTGCATTTCAGTAACACAAGTACTTACTTCCCTGTAAACACTAATATTGAAGTTCCTAATGCAGCTGATATCATTACTATAAGAACTGTATTTCCCAGTCTCAGCCACAACAAATACATATCTTCAGGTATTTCCTACAGTCAATCCAGACAAAGAAATATAGTCACTAAAAAACAACCTTTTGTTGGTGTTTTTCTTTCTAAGGGTAGGGTTTTTTAGGAGTTCTTCCAATGTCATCTTCTTGGACCAGAACTAATGTAAACAAAACCGCTTAGCTTCTCAAAGAAATAGCTTCATATATCTAGTTCAAAGTTTCTCACAAGGAACAAAACATTAATGAATGCAGCATTGTAATTCACTATTTAACCATGATCTTTGTGCTGGTCTGAATAACCTAATAAAGTATCTTTAAGAGATTCTGAAAAACTTAGCTGGAAAATTACTACTTATGGATTTTCACAATTTTTAACTAAAATTACCAATTTAAAATGTAAAGAGTGGAACCTGTGGTAAAACTTAGGAAGTTCTAACAGTGTGAAAAAATTTTTAACAGATGTTTAAGCTACCATCAAAAACGCCTGTAATTACCTTACATTTACTATTACCATCCCTTGATTCTCAGAATATTCATACTCATAGTAGAGTAATTCAGGCCTTAAAGACTCATATCTCTGTCACTAACTTAGTGCAGTGTAATTTTTAATTTCTAAGTGTTTAGAAAAAAAACAGAGTTGTGGAAAAAGTTCCACACCTGAAAGGTCAGTAGAGCACCATATGGTAACAACTGGACAGCATTATTCCGTGTGCAGGCAGTACTCCACTTAAGAGTACTTCTTGCGATAAAAGGTCTTTGCTTGTCTAAGAAACTAGCACAGTTCATAGAATAAAGTGCTCTGACAAACTATTTGCTAAGGAAACTCAAGTGTACATGAATACCACTTTGGGGAACTGGCGTCTAATATGATGAAATCCATCAACTAAAATTGTTTAAAAAATTTAAGTGAGGAACTCATATACTTCATGAACTTTCTGTGAGGCCGAAAGGAATCTTAGCAAGAGAATCTTGTACTAAAAAACATTACTGAGCACAGATATCTAAGATAAAACATCTTGTAACAACATTAAAATAAGAATGTGCTAAAATACAGAGTATTTGAGAGAACAGTTCTGATGAAAGTTAAAAAGAACAACTGCAGATATAAAAATACAGGCATTAAAATGTCAAACATGCTAAAAATCCCAAGAATCAAACTGTTTTACCAATGCATAACTCCCAGTTTAAAGAATTAACAGTCCTCTATTTTTAGCACTTTATTTGTAGCTATATCAAAGCTCAACATGACCCATGTGTTCACAATCCCACTCATTTCCTAAACAGCTATAAAGAAAAAATACATTGCAGTTCTCCATTTCAGAAGTTAAGGACTTTCAAAAGTCATAGACATAATTTCTATAAATCTATCTACAGGAAGGGCCAGAAAGAAGATCTGCGGAACTACAGACCTGTCAGTCTGACCTCGATGCTACGGAAGGTCATGGAACAAATCATCTCAAGATGATGCCAGATGCTCAGGCCCAGTCAACATGGGTTAATGAAGGGCAGGTCCTGCTTAACCAACCTGATCTCCTTCTATGACACGGTGACCCACTTGATGGATGAAGGAAAGGCTGTGGATGTTGTTTACCTTGACTTTAGTAAAGCCTTCAGTACTGTTCCTCACAGCATCCTCATGAAGAAACTGGCTGCCCAATGCTTGGACAGGCGTACACTCTGCTGGATCAAATGCTTGTTGGGTGGCCAAGCCCAGAGAGTGATGGTGAAAAAAGTTCAGTCCAGCTGGTGGCCCGTCACAAGTGTTCTTCCCGAGGGCTCAGTGTTAGGGCTAGTCTTGTTTAATATCTTTAACAATGATCTTGACACAGAGATTGAGAGCATCCTCAGTAACGCTGCAGATGACACCAAGTTAGTTGATCTCCTTGAGGGTAGGAAGGCTCTACAGAGGGGCATGGACAGGTTAGATCGATGGGTTGAAGCCTACTGTACGAGGCTCAACAAGGCCAAGTGCCAAGTCCTATACTTGGACCACAACAACCCCTGGTACTGCTACAGGCTTGGGGAGGAGTGGCTAGAAAGCTGCCCAGAAGAAAAGTCACTTCGGTGCATTGATCAATGAGGCAGTATTGTGCCCAGGTGGCCAAGAAGGTCAATGGCATCCTAGCCTGTATCAGGAATGGTGTGGCCAGTAGGAGCAGGACAGTGATTGTACCCCTGTACTTGATGCTGGTGAGAACATATCTTGAGTCCTGCATTGAGTTTTGGGCATCACAGTGTAAGAAAGACACTGGGGTGCCTGGAGGATGTCTAGAGGAGGGCAATAAAGCTGGTGAAGGGTCTCAAGAATGTCTTATGAGGAGTAGCTGAGGGACTTCCGGTTGTTTAGTCTGAAGAAAGCTGAGGGAAGATGTTATTACTCTCTACAACTACCTGAAAGCTGGTTGTAGAGAGTTGGGTGTTGGTCTCTTCTCACAAGTTAGAACTAATAGGACAAGAGGAAATGGCTTTAAGTTATGCCAGGGGACATTTAGGTTAGACGTTAGGAAGAACTTCTATACTGAAAGGTTTAACAAAGACTGGAATAGGCTGCTCAGTGAAGTGGTTGTATTGCCATCCTTGGATGTATGTAAAAGCCATCTAGATAGGGTGCTCAGGAACAGACTTCAGAAGTGGACCTGGTAAAATTAGATAATGGTTGGACTTGATGACCTTGAAGGTCTTTTCCAACCATAACGATTCTAAGAGTCTGTTAATTTATCCCCAGAAAGACTGACTGTATCCTTAAATTTGACAGCACATGTAGTTCATTAATCTCATTACCCTGAACTTCAGAAGCAAAAGCTACAGACCACACACACTTTTTTTCTCTAAGAATGCAAGAGACAGACGTGAGCTGCTTGTGCAATTCAATGGGTAGTTTATGAGGATGGACAAAAATAACATGAGCAGAACTCTCAAAACTTCATAAGGAAAGAGTAGATGGTATCTGGAGATTCTTGGAAAATTAACAATTGACCAATTACAGAAAGCCATGCTGTGGTAGCCATGCTGACAAGACAGGAGAAATTCTTCTACATTGAAAACTACTCCAGCTTAACAAGCATTATTCAAAAAAACTAAGAACATCCCATGCTTCCCTTGAGGATGATGAATTTGTCTGGTTTAACCTCAAATACAAAGATGGCCCTTGGAAGGATTGAAGAAACCAGTCCAAGAACAAGCACTGAAAAAACACTATTTCAAAAAAACTTGTTAAGTCATAAGGAAAGAGAGATTTTATCTGTAACATGAATTTTACATATTTTCTGGACTACTCACAGAAACCTACCAGAAGGAAAAAAAAAAA